CACCTTAAAATAATATTCCTCAACAATGTTGGTCTAGAAATTTGACAAAAAAAATTGATGGGAGACTCCAGGTTTGAATGCCAGCAAGATACTGAGTTTAAAACCCCATTCAAAGTAAACTAATTTCCCCCCTAATAGGTAATATTAGTTCAGTAGGCAAAAGAATAGACACTCCATACCTCATCAGCAAATAGAAGATAAACTCTTCCCATTCTTTGCATCAAAATATTTGACAATACACACCAGTGTTTCAGGAATACAAATACTGAGAATGTCTATGTATAGACTATATTTCCTTATTTTAAAGCCATACATGTATAGCCCACTGCTACTCTCATAATAAATTTAGGTCAGTGGAAAGTCTTTTCTGTAAAGTCATGCATAAAACAATGGTGTTTATTGTTATCATTTCCAGGAAACACAGCAGGGACAGGGAAGTACCAGCAATACAAGAGGACTGGAAAAATGAATAATACATGTGCATACTAGATTTTTTTTCAAGACAATGCTTTGTGTAGTAAGCTGCCCTGGAGCTTACTTTGTAGAACAGGCTTGCTTTGAACTCAAAGAGATACACTTCTCTCTGCCTCCTTGTGCCACCACCACCACCAGGTTACATTTGTTTTCTAGATGAAAGAAAAGGCAGTAAGCTCAGTAAAGGTTCACAATGTAATATCCAGTATAGAAAACTCACAGATAATGAGGAACCTGAAAGGAAACTAAGAAGCTGGGCCTGTTGGTGTGGCCTTTAAACCTGGATTCCTGGGAAGCTGATGCCAGAGGATGGCAAGTTTAAGGCAAACTGTTACATCTGGAACAAAGTGAAAAGAACAGATCAGTGGTTGAGCACCACCTGTTGTCACAAAGGATACCCAATGACCAGGGATCCAATCCTTATCAGTTTCCATGGCATTAGGTTGCTATATCATCCTTCAAATGATCCCCATTCCAGCAAATAAAAAAATTTTTTTTAAAGACACCAAGGAGCCATAACTAGGTTTGTTCGATTTAAACAATAAGGCTGCAGACAGCTTGTTTCTTTTGTGATTGGAGTATGTAATGGCTAAGGAAAACCCATAATAAATTCCTAAAAAAGAAGCTCCTGGAATCTCACTCCTTGCTATCCTCACCCAAATTGTAAAATCACTACAAAGTAACTGTTTCCTCTGGCTGACCCACTTTCTGCTGTGTAGCAGGGAGTGAGAGCTCCTCACAGCTGAGGGGAATACAGCAATTTCTCACTCAGATACACATTCCACACAAGAGAGACAATTGTGCTGCCACCCAAAAAATCCCCCCTCCAGCCTCTTCTGTGTGACAAGCCTTTGACTTCTCATTAAGGCTGTTGTCCTACTAGCAGTAATTAATACATTCATTTAATTATAATTTTTAAAGGAATATAAAACTATTTATTGACCACTGTTCACCATTATTTACAATAAAGTAAATATACAGTTGGATGGCATTCTGATACTACAAATTTACTTTTCTGGCTCATTGAACCAGAACCCAAATGTTGAAAAGATGGATCCTACCTATAAGGAATGAGTCAGGGTAAAGAAAAAGCATGCAAGTCATCAATTTATATTACCAAATTTTGTTCATTTATATCAATGGGTCTGAAATTGCCAACATCTTCTCTAAGTATATTCCATTTCCACAGCAAACAGATAATACACGAATCATAACCTTTTAGTAGATTTCAACTTTCTACAAAGGAATGGTTCACTACAGGAACCTTATATGCCCACTTAAGTCTTTTTGTTTGGTTTTTAGAAATAGGGTTTTCTCTGTGTAGTCCAGGCTGACCTAGTCAGAGATCCCTCTGCCTTCAGAGTGCTGGGATTAAAGGCTTGTACAACCATACCCAGTTGTTATGAAAACTGTCTAATTCCATTTTCTGAAGGGGGGAGTTTGCAATGACAAAATTTTGTAAATAAACTACTGTATTTGCTTGCTGTAAAACTATCCAACAAATTACAGAATCACCTACTTGTAAGGTTATGATTTCAGGAAAAAGTTCACAATGATGGAACCTCATCAACACATTTTCATCTACCGTTTTTTGATTATTAGAAAACAAGAAAAAACAAAAAAGTTATGTGTCTTATGCAACACACGAATACAAACAAAAAACCCAGAATGGTCCTTCTGTGTTTCAGTTAAAAATAAGTTTTGGTTGACTAATGACTGTAAAATCTCAGCGTTTAAGAAAAACTGTTCTTCAAAGCTGAGGAAATACAACATGGTATCAAACATTCTATTGTGAAAGGAAGCAACTACAGAAAGCTTTTATTTGCCCAAAGGAATCAGTCAGTGCCTTTTGATGCAAAACAATACTTTCAAAACCAGCATAGCAAACTCATATATATAAATGCAAACAATTATTGGGCTTCATCTTCTGGACAAGAATGCCAAGTCAGCCTCTCCTCATAAAAGGCAATGACAATCTGAGGACACTTCATATTTATTTGCCTCCTTTGCCAGCACCAAGTCTGCCTCATCTGAGTCCTTCCATTTCATGAGAAACATTAATTCTCCACTGCTGTCTGTGGCACCAATTATTCGTTCAGGATCAAGACCTCTGGCAAAACTCCTTGGTTTGTCAGCAGCATCTCTGTTCTTCGGTTAGCTATCATCAGATTCACTGTCAGATAAAGATTTCCTTTTTGTACCATCTTTTTCTTTACCAGCTTTTTGAGAATTAAGAAATGCTTCAATTAGTTCTGGACAATCTAAATTTTCTTCTGGTTCCCAAGTATTATCAGCATCTGTGAACCCCTCTCACTGGAGGAAATACTCCACCTTCCCATTTACTACAAGCCGGTCGAGTACTTTTTCTACCACAAATTCTTCAGCCTCTGCCTCTTCAGCTTTTTACTCTTTCCATTCTGTTTCTTTCCCATTTTTTGCAATGTAGTTTTATTGGAGACCTTTTTTTTTTCTTTTTTTCTTTTTCTTTTTTCTTTTTTTTTTTAATCGAAGACTTGAAGAGCGTCCACGGCGTGGCGCCTTGGAAGTCTCCGGAAGGGGGGCGGGCGGGACCGCGGAGGCCTCTCTGCGTTCGCCCAGCGCTCCAAAGCCCGGCTCCGCCCACCTCCTGGTCCCGGGCCTGAGGGCTAGGGCGCTCGGTAGCGGGGTTCTCTAAGCACCGCCTCTCACAGGGCGCGGGGTCCCCAAGGCTTTTGGCCTCGGGTTCCTATTGGGAGGGGCCGGCACCCCTGGGGACACGAACAAACAAAGGCCAGCACTGCTCGAGAACCCGGAGCGAGGATTGGCGAAGGCTGCTGGGAGTGCGGTCGGATGACGAGGGCCTCTCGCCTGAGCGGCAGCGTTCGATTTAATTATAATTTAAGTTTGTGGTTTTTTCCTGGTGGATTTGAACTCTGTACCTAGTACAACTCCCCCTTTTTTTTTGTATTTACTTATTCATTTCTTCTTTTTTTTGTTTTGTTTTGTTTTTTTGTTTTTGCATCCCCACTCCAGTTTCCCCTCCCTCTCTCCTCCCAGTCCTACCCCCAACCTCTCCCCTCCCACCCTGCACCCTCCTCCAGTTCTCTTTAGAAAATGGCAGGGCTCCCATGGGTACCAACCAGCCATGGCATGTCACATTTTAGGTAAAACTTGTTTCTTCAAGGTTTCTGAAAATTCAAAGTATTGATGTCATAAGAGAAATGGAACTTTCCCCAAAAAGGCTGGGCAAAGAAATTGTCCCAGGGTTCATTTACTAAGTAGTATTATCTGGAACAACTTAATGTGTACTCACTAGATGTTGCCAAATCTAAAAACTGGACAACTCTAATGTGAGCATTGCAGTACCTCATAACATATGGCTGTAAAGAGAGTCAATGCCTAAGTTCAGAAGAGAGGTGTCCACAACTGATTAAGAGCAGGAGAGAGCAAAGGGAAAGAGGATGGGGCTCATGACAATCCTGAAAGTCAACCTGGACACAGGAGACCTGTCCCGTGACCTCTGGTGTCTACATTAGCTTGGGTGAAGCTGGGATTCCCTGGTCTCTGTGCTTTCTTTCATGGCTCTCAAGATCTTCCTAAGAGCAGACATCTTTCAGTCTTTACACCATTAAATCCATCAGTAGCTTTACTGTTCCTTGAAAGGTAGAAAAGTCCTGGGCTGCAATGTCCACCTGTAACCCAGTGTCTGGGGAGGGTGACAGGGTTACATGAGGTTAGCTTGTGCTATATAAGGGCATCATGTCCCCAAGAAACAGAAAAGCTGTCATGTGTGATCTCCCAGTGTTCTCATCCATTCTTTCTTTCTTCCCATCACCTCCTCCTCTTTGTCTTTCTTTGGCATTGAATCCTAGGCATAGTGCAATTGGAAATCGACAGCCACACCCCACTGACTGCACCCCAATAAATAACACCCTTTGGGTAGTTTTTTCTTTATACATGGTCTTATTGTGTTCCCAGGCAGGTCTTAGACTTTGGATCTTGCATCAGCTTTCTTTGTAGCTGGAATTACTAGTCAAGGTTGGTTTTCATTTAGGCCTGGCAAACAATGTCGAGGGAAAGGCAGGCAAATGTAATGACTTTTAAGTAATTCCCTACAAACTTGAGGCTATTTGATAATATAAGTAAATGTATACGAGGTTGCAGAAGGTTTGGGACTTCTAATCACAGAGACAGATGCAAAAGAAACAAACCCATAGAATCATGGGTAAATACACTATTACACAGAGCGAGCGTAAACTCTGTTTTCAAACACCACTTTGACTTCACTCCTTCAGTGGGCAGTTTGAGGAACAGGGATGAACATCAGTGTCTGTCTTGCAACAGGAGATTCTTGGTGCAGACCAAAATTAAACATTAGGAAAGAAGAGAGTGAACTGCATTGTAGAAATACCTGGACCTCTCAGGACCTTGAAACCTGTCTTTTCTCAAGGCCACCCTCTCTGGCTGCCTCCTGATTTCTAGAGCACCCAGCGGGAAGCCAGCAGTCGCTCTTTCCCCGCCCCTTTTTAGTTTCAAATGAAACTCACCAGAGTAAAGAGTGTTTTCTCCTAGATTCTTCCAAACTCTGCCCTCCAAAATTCCTCTCACACGTTTTGACGCCAACCAAGAGATCCTGACTCTGTGTAGAGGAGCAAATGGAGGCCACAGTAAGTGTCCTGAGCCTTCAGTCGCTAAGTCTGATCTCTGGTGAGCCAGGCGAGAAATGAAAGTTAAGACTTTGAGGGGTGGAACTGAGAAAGAGAAACTCCCAAACTATCAGCCAATGGGGTGCCACCCCATCGGTATCTGGTATTCTACCGCCAGAGGGAGCCAGTCGCTTCGAGTCAGCTCTGCCTTCCAGGAGCTTGGGACATTTTTCTGTGTTCCAGGAATTTGTCAAGTCAGTTCTTCAGGTTCATGTCACAAACACCCTAAAAGATCCTGACCTTTGGGAAAGCTGCCCCTGATGGGAAGAAAGCCTTCTCCGTGGACTCTTCTTCCACAAGGGCCCCTGGCTGGGTTTTGCTTTGAGTGGCAGGTGTGGCCTAAAGGGATGGAAATACAAGTTGAGGGACAGAGAACTACATTGCTCTCCTGGAGTTGGACTTGGACTTTTACAGGATGAGAACAGGAAGGAAGCTGCATTCAGGGCAGCTGCTGCACCACAATCAAAATTTCCCACCCAGCAGGAACAGGATGGGAAGCATTCCATTACAGAGTCATGCAGAAACACTTCCCCACACTCACAGCAGAGAGACTAGCAAGTGCAGAGGGCTCTCCAGCTGCCCAGTGCTGTCCCACAGATTGTATCTTCTGTTGCTGAACAGACCAAGTCCTCTTCACACTGCTGATCTGATAACACTCTTTGCATCCCTTCTAGGAATCCCTCACCAGAATGTCTCAGGAGTCCCCTCGTGAGTTAGTATTTCTATTAGAGACCTCTGATATTGCTTGAGCATCCCCTGAATTAGAAGTTGAAAATGTGTAGAGGTGGTAATCAGTTCAGTTGGTACAGTGTGTATCTAGCAATGGTGGAGCTCTGTGGTTGATTCTCAGCACTGGACAAAACTAATTGTGGTACACATGTAAGTAGTCTGCTTTGTTACTTATTTTATTGCTGTGTGTCTTAGTACCAGTTTTTATTGCTGTAAAAGAGACACCATGACCACATGAACTCTTTCTTCATTTAAAAATTTTAAAATTTTACATACTAGCCCCAATTCCCTCTGACTCCCCTTCATCTGCTCTCCAATTGCCCCATTCCACCTCCCATCTACTTATCAGAAGGGGTAAGGCTTTCATTTTGGAGTCAACAACTTGATATAACAAGTTGAGGCAGGACCAAGTCCCTTCCCTCTGTGTATCAAGGCCGAACAAGGTATCCCACCATAGGAAATGGGGTCCAAAGAGCCAGTTCATGCACCCTGGATAAGTCCTGGGCCCACTGCCAGTGCCCCACCCAGTAGATGAAGCCACATAAGTAACACCCATATTCAGAGGGCTTAGTTTGCTCCCACGCTGGATCCCCAGCTGTCAGTCCAGAGTCTATGAGCTCCAGCTAGCTTGGGCCAAATGTCTCTTTGGTTTGACCAATCATGATCTTGACTCTCCTAGCTCATGTGATCCCTCCTCCCTCAGCAACTGAACTCCAGGAGCTCAGGCCAGTGCTTGGTGGTGGAGCCCTGCATCTGCTTCCATCAGTTACTGGATGAAGGTTTTTTGATGACAATTAGGGTGGTCACCAATCTGATTACAGGGAAAATCCAGTTCAGGCACCCTCTTCACTATTGCTAGGAGTCTTAGCTGGGGTCATCCATGTAGGTTCTTGGAAATTTTCCAAGCACCTGGTTTCTCCCTAACCACATAAAGCTCCCTCTATCAAGATATCTCTTTCTTTGCTCTCCCTCTCATATTTTCCCCAACTTGGCCATCTCTATCCCTCATGTTCCTAGCTCCCATTCCCTCCCTTCTACTCCTCAGCCCAGTTTACCCAGGAGATCTTATTTCCCTTTCCTTGGGCCCTCCAGACCATATGGACTCTTATAAACGAAAACATTAATTACAGCAGGCTTGCAGTTCAGAGGTTCAGCACTTTAGCATCATGTCAATAAACATGATTGCATGTAGGCAACATAGTACTGGAGAGGTAGCTGAGACCTCTATATCAGCATCAGCAGGTAGCAGGAAGAGAGTAAGCCACTGGGCATGGTTTGAGGTACTGAAACCCTAAGATTCTTTGGGAGCTGATGCTTCTTCTCAAGTTTCTTGTCTGGGTGTGCCACCTGTCACTCCAAACCCTGGGAACTGTTCTGATTCAGTCCTGACATAATCTGGATGCAGATCATTCTTATTTCTGTAAATATGTTTTGAATGGAATGTTGTTCTTGAAAATGTGTTCCTATGTCAATTGTTCTTAGTTTTGTAAACACAGGATGTACCTGGCTTGGTATTTCGCCAAGCTAGCAAATTGGCAAGTGTTGTTTTTGGTTTAAAGATGTTTTGACATAAAAACTGGGAAAAATATATTTGACATTTTGTTTTTGCCAGAGGTTAATGTTGGAGGATGGGAAAAACTCACTTGTTAGTATGGAAAAACATGCTTGGTTTTGATGTATAAATAATAAATACATGTTTTTCATTGTCTAAACTTGGCTGTCCTGAGTTTTGCTCTGTAGACCAGGTTGGCCTCAAACTCTGATCCACCAGCCTCTGTCTTCGTAGTGCTGGGATTAAAGGTGTGCCCCACCACACCTGGATCTAAGCTTTTCTTTAGTTTCTTTTCACAATTTGGAAACTTAGCTGGGTGGGATCTTGCCCTGAGATCACTACTCTCTTTATTCCATTTCCTATTCTGTTTATCTCCATGAACACAGAATTTAGATTTATTCCTCTTCACCACAAAATTTACTTTTTGAAATTCACCCTGCTTAACTCGTTCTTTTTTTAATTACAAATCTTCATTAGAGTTACCACTAATATCCACATGACAGTCTAAATGAGGCTGTTTTACAATTTCTTCTGGCACAGGAATTAATCTGAAACTTTTTATTTTAGCCCCAGGACAAGGACAAAAGGCTGCCACTTCATCAAAGTATCACAAGAATGGTCTCTAGGCAATCCTAAATTTCTTCTCTGAAACATTTTGAGCCGGCTCCCAACATTTCAAATTATTATCAGCACCATTGTCTTTCATGCTTCTGCTAGTGTGCCCCATTAAGTAGTGCTTAATGCTTAAATAATTCCACGGCTTTCTAACCTAAAGTACCAAAGTCAATATTACTGCAAACAAAAGCATGGGCACACCTATCACAGCAATACCCTATTCCTGGTACACTATGATCACAACAACTCTCTCTCTCTTTTTTTTTTTTTGATGAGCAAAATGAAAAATTTTAATGTGTTCTGGTGACAGAGACAATCTAATGGAAAACTACTGGTGATGCTTGAGCAGCAGATGAACCAAAAAGCAAAAGTTTACTTTAAGTGGAGGAAGCTATTGTAGATAGTGTGCCTCTGTGGGAGATTCAGCAGTTTTATAGCATACTCTTTGATACTGGGGATGCAGTTCTGCAAACTGAGTCTATTAAGAGCCTCTTACCATTTACAAGTTAATAATGCGAGATTGTCAGGTCAGAAGAGCAGATGAGGGCCTCTCTCCTGTTTCCAGTTGCTGCATTCTCCTAGCCACAGCATGCAGGGCATCTTGATCACAGCTGTTTCTTCTAGATCTAGATGAAAGATATAGCACTTCCTAGGACAACAACTCTCTTTTTCTCTCCTTTTTCAATTTAAAATTTGTTCTTTTTTTCACTTTACATACTAGCCCCAGTTCCCCCTTCCTCCCCCTTTTCAGCCCATCACCTCCTCCCATCCCACCCTCATATCTACTCCTCAGAGGGAGTAAGGCTTCCCTTGGGGAGTCAGCAAAGTCTGCCCTACCGAGTTGAGGCAGGACCAAATACCTCCTCTCTGTATCAAGGCTGAGCAAGGTATCCCAAGGAAATGAGCTCTCACAGCAACTCTTGTAAAGAAAAGATTTACTTGAGGGGCCTGGCTTGCAGTTTCAGAGGTTCAGTCCATTTTCATCTTGATGGGGAGCATGGCAGCCAGCAGGCAGATGTGGTGCTGGAGCTGAGAGTGCTATATCTTGCAGGCAATAGGCAATCAACTGACTGTCATACTGAGTGAAACTTGACAAAAAGAACTCAAAGCCCCCCACCCCCACTTCCCCACCCCCGCTCCCGCAGCCTCAAACTTCCTCCAACAAAACCACACAAGACCACATTTCTTAACCCTGCCACTCCCTTTGGGGGGCATTTTCTTTCAAACCCCCACATGCCCTGAGCTGACCCTTTATTGAGAGTCCTTCAGTCTCTGTTAAGTCTCAATCCCTAAAATAAATGACTGAGGTGTCATCTAACATATCAAAGTGGACTGGCCTTTTTGTACTTTTGCCCTCTTGACTTCTGGGCTTCTCTCTGCTCTCCTGCTCACATGGCCCAGCTCACTCTGGCCATCTCCACTCTGAACTCTCCCAGGTGTCTCTGCCTCTCCTGTGCTCTCCCACATATCTATAATGAACTTTGTCCTAGAAACAGTCTTGTTCTTTCCTTTCCTTTTATTTTTTTTTCATTCATTATCAACCTGTCCTCCCCTGGAGCAAGCAGAGGCAAAGGTAGCAGTGGGAGTCCTCCAGCAAGCCATGCCAAGAGTGTCAGGAACTCACTCATGACCTGGTGACCTACCTATGTCTTGGGCTTATGAGAGGTTAGGGGCTTAAGACACTGGTGGTCATCCTTCATGAATGATTTTTATTAAAAAAGCAGAAAAGGTAGCCAGAAAAATAATTGGCTGAAAGTTGATTTTGGACTCTCTGGCTCCAGTATCAGAAAAACATAAATTTCCATTGTTTAAATGACCTGGTTTGCAGTATTTTGATACTATAGTTTTTTTTTAAAATCATAGCTCCAACATGCTGGCACATTAGTAGTAGATTAAGGAAGAACTTGAGAAAGTCCATTGCACGAGAGAGAGAGAGAGAGAGAGAGAGAGAGAGAGAGAGAGAGACAGAGACAGAGACACACACAGAGAGAGATAGAATCTGATCAAATGTCAAGTTTCCCAGTACCTCAGAAATATTGGGGAAGGGCTGGAAATTAAAATGATAAAATACTGGACAAGCATCTAGCCCAGAATGAAATTCTCTTCAGACACAATTCAACTCCAGTTCTGCGAA